CGATGAAAATCCTTGTCTATTCAGTTCACTTCATGTGACTATTACAGAGATACATGGGGAAGATGAATTATTAAAACAAAAATTATACTACTGACCTTGAAAAATGTACAAGTAAGGATAGATATTATCCTAGTCACTAGTAGTATGTTCTTACGTGACAACATTTAAACTTGTTATCGAAATCGTACCTTATATCTAAATCGTTACCTTATATGTTTTTAATAGGTAGTTTTAACCATCTAATATAAGTTATTAAAATTTATCGGGTTAATTATAAGTTTACTAATGTAAATAATTAAACAGTCGTGCGAGTGTTCATAAAATTTCTCGGATTAGTTTTAAGTTTATTAACGCAATTTGTTGGTCTCTCAGTTAGCGTTATTGGTCTATTATTTTTGGTATGAAAGGTGTAAGTTCCACTTGAAATGTTTTGGTCTGAAAGGTCTATGAATGTATCCTCTCTCTCTAACTTATCACTTACTTGTCACTCTAATTATTTACAATGAACAACAAACCCCAAAAATGATGTAAAGGGGTTTTGCCTTGACCAGAATTCATTTGTTGGTCTTCTAGTAACGATCTCAGGTTTTTTTTTTCTTTTTTTATTTTTTTTTTTTGTTTTGGAAAGGTCTATCTTACACTTGAAAACTTAAAGTGCAATTGTCACTAATAAGTAAATTGTACATGTAAAATATACAAATCCGGTGATAAAAATTCAAGATATTAAATAACAATAAAATATTATAATAATACCTTCATATATGAATATATTTTTTTACATGCAGTTAAAAAGACATTAATATATTATTATGTCCATTTCAAGTAACATTATTTATTAACACCGAAGCCTCACATTCGTCCTCCACCCCAGCACTAGTAATTTTGAAAGCATGTGATCGTCCTGCTACATTTGCATGCGCATGGTTTATAATGCACAACACTACGTTCGTACAACCGTTAATAGGAAGTTGTTTCCTTATGAAGAGTCTAATTGGGATCTTTCGGCTCATTACATGAGCCATAGCCCCTTTAACCTCCCTTCCCGAAGTGTAGGTGCGTAGCAGTTCCCCGTCCGATTTGTCAACGTCAACTACTTCATTCACAACTATAACTGCTAAGTTGTAAGCTTGTGTCATATTCCCTAACCTTGTAATCACACTTCTTAGTGCCGAATCCCTTTTGTCGTATCCCCTTGATGTGTTGTCATGGCCATGCCTAAACAAGGTTCCTATTGAGTCTAACACAACGACCCTCGTATGTCTACAAGTATCCAGGGAACGATTTATTTGTTCCTCTAAATGTGGTAGAGAAAAGTAAGGCTCATCAACGTCACTTATTTGTTTCACGAATATGTTTTCCATAGGATCATCGACATAACCATTTGACCCCAGGGATTGACCTTGGTCAAATTTTGCCATTTGTGCTAGCCTTTTCACAGGAAAGGGATTGACCGCTTGTATGTACACAGCTGAGCCAAATAAACCCCAGGGAGGCATTTTTTGGCATACAAGATAAAGATGGAGACATAATTGTGTGTTCCCACTCCAATTCTCGCCATTTATTTCTGTCACCATTCCGGAGGGGATCCCTCCAACAAGGAGGAATTCAATTGAAAGACAACCCGTCTTGCAAGTTTGATTCATATCATTACAACAATTAAGCCTGAAACATATTAGTAGTTTTAATAATCATGCACATGGCCTTAGACTAATTAATATAACTAGTTTTAATAAGTACGTGGCAAATAAAACATTTAAATTGCAAACAAGTGAGCCTTTAATTACATAAAGGTCCGAAAGTATACAGCTATTGAAAATTAGGGTAACTTCTCTTGTTCTCGAACTCCATCTTTGCCTCTTCAAGATGTTGCACATACCAGGTCGGGTAGTCGCAATACTTAAACCGATCAGCAATGACTAACTTCAGTTGTTCCATCTCGTCTAATCCATTCTCAACTAACATTTTACTCTTAAACACCATGTACTCTTCAGGCTCCTTTAACACAAGAGCACAAACATCTTCTGTTGAGAAATTTAACCACTCAAAAGTGACCCGGATATTACACGGGTTTGAGGAAAAATCCCTCCCTAGAAGGAGTAGTCCCCATTCCTCTCCTTCTAGTACGTAGTCCCAAAATATAGGCTCTAACATGGAATACCACTCGCCAAGGTCCTTAAACAAACACAAGAAATACCTCATGAATGTACACTGACTTGGGTAGTTCATGCACTCAATCAAAGCAAGTCTCAAATCTTTAAAATTGAAACTCATTGCCATTTTGAACCGATCTAGTAGGTAGAGCATAAAACAATATGCATGTTTCGTGAAGTGCCTTGGTTTGCAAAGCTTTAATGGTGTTTAAAATGGGAAATTGGGATGAACATCTATGCCATGAACTAGAGTAGATATACCACTTGTTGCAATCGTAGCATATTGATGTAGAAGCATTTTTTCGGTAATACTCATCGAACTACTCATCGAATCTCCTAAATCAACTACTTAACATAGAAAAAAAAATTGCAATTGAAAACAAACAACATGTATCTGTAGAAATCTAAGTAAAACAAGACCTATTAATCATAATTCTTTTCTAAGTAATGACATAAGTAAGTAAAAATATTTAACAAGCTTACCACCTAGGAATCCACCTTAGTCGATCTGTGAAATGGCGTCTACTATTAATTTCCACTTACCAATTGCCACAAGATTTATAAATTTTATGATATGTGAGAAAATACTAAGTGTGTATATGCATTGAAAATTTTGAAACCAACATTAAATAGAGTTAAACCAATCTACTAAACTTGTCATGTCACATTAAGTGAAGAAGTTGGTAGTTGGAAAAATGAAACCTGAAAATCCTCTATATTATATTTGATATGTACTTTCTCAGTGTTGTATTTAATTTAGGTACTTTGTTTACTTCTTTTCTATTTAATTGCTAAAACTTACTGTAGTAGTAAAACATTCAGTTGGTAGAAGGTGAAGAAATGTTGGTATACTGATGGAAACTCAAACTTTCCATCATCCATTACTAACCTTATACTACTTTCATTTACTACTCATGATATCATAATATTTCCCAAACATGTTCTTCTGAATTTCCCAAAACATATCTGTAACTGGACCAAATATGATATTAGCAATATGAAAGTACTCATATTGAGAAACACTTCATATAATTAACACAAATTATAACACATAGATGGAAATTAAAAGTTCAACAACAGAACATTGAAATAAATAGTTCAATAACAACAGAACAACAACAAAATCAGAAACAACTACAAATAAAAATAGTCAAATTCCGCCCACCCATAATCATCACTATCGGTTGATCCCTTCCTCCGAACTGTGATGCACTACTGAAGGACCTCGCTCCGTTGCTTCGGTGAGCTTCACCACATGCTCAGGGGGGAAATCTTCAGGGCAGGAGGGGTCAGCCAACAAAAGATCCATACACTCCATTGCGTCGTTCCCATTGTACTTAATCAGCTCATTCTTGAAGATCAAAAAAGCATCTTCATCTTCTCCTAAATGAACAAACATGTCCTCTTTGGAAGAGTTCATCCATTCATAAGTTATATCATAATGTTCTTCAACAAGAATTGCGGTGGAGCCTGAAAACTTTCTACCTAACACAAGAAGCCCCAAAACCCGGTTTCGTGAAGGATTGCGTACGAGATCCTAGATGTGACATCCTTACACCATTCATCTAGTGATTTAAAGAGTTGGAAGAACTGTATCAAGTGACGGTAATAGTGCAGTTTAGCCATGCACTTTTTCAGGGTTTTGCGAAGTTTCCACAAATTGAACTAAAAGCCATTTTAAAGCAATCAAGGAGATAAAATAGGAAACAAAAGGCTTCTTTTCTGAACTACGTGGCTTATTAAGTTTAAGTGGTTTCAAGAAAGGGTGTTGGGGGTGGAATTGAGGCCCTTGGATGCCTTGCTCTCCACCCCTTGCTAAGGTTGCAAGCAACTGTGGAATCATCATCTCTCCCGAGCGCTTCTCCACTGCAAGAGCCCTTATCCAGTCCTTGACATCCCTTTGTTCTCCATCCTTCAAGAATTCCATTACATCATCTTGGTCTTCATGCAGCTTTAGCTTGGCCGAGCATCCCTCGACGACTTTGGCCTTCCCTTTCTCCTCGTACGTTAGTCGACGGGCTGGTCTGCCCCGTCGCTGTTCGTTCATTGACTTACGGGAGGTGCGGCTACCGCCGTGAAAGCCGTTAAAGTCATTTGGGGGTGTTGTATCCATTGTTGGCTAAGTATTTTTTTAAAAACAAAAGGGTTATATGAGAGGTTTTTGGCTGAAAATACAGTTTGATATGTGTGTTATGAAAGGAGTAACTCCCTACATCATATATTTATTTCAGCTCAATGGTTGTACTTTTCATTAAATGTCTTAATATGAAGCTGTGACTGTTTAATTACTTTCCCTTAAATCCTAACACAAGACGTAAATATACCAACTTCAAAAGTTAATATACCAACTATATGGTGCACATATAACAAGGACAACAACTCAACAAGAAAACGTGTGTATTTATTAATGTTTGCAAATGTAATTCATTTTACGAATTACTTTTTTATTAATATATACAATTAATCACATTTACAGCTGCATAACATGTCTTCACATGTCATGTGTGAAGTTGTCAAAAGTATGTTAAATTTTTAAACCACAATGAATTATGATACCAACAAAGGTTTTTTTTTTAACGTATAGTTTTTTTAACGTATACCCTCGTGCAATTTATATGTCCAGCGAAAATTTATATCACATTTGATACAAAGTTGTAAAGTCTTGCGTTTAAGTATTTGATACATAATTTTTATTTTTACTATGCAAAATACTAAATTACTTAGTTCCAAAATACTGTGCGAAAATTTATATCACATTTGATACAAAGTTGTAAAGTTGTAAAGGTGAATGAATTATTTCAATTATTTTTAAAAGCAAATACTATTGACAAAATACCATAATTCTGCTAATATAGACCAAACCAGTTATGTCAAGTAACATACTCACATGCTGCTAATATAGACCAACATTTACCATTCAAATTACATATACCAATATTTACGATATAGATACCATAATCCTTGAATTTACTAAAATACTTAGTTCCAAAACATTCAACAATGGAGCCGACTCCAAAGTTAGACCACTTCTACATATAGACCAACAGTTTACAAAACTACAACCAAAGAAAAGCAATTTCATCATCAACCACAATCAAACCGAGTCCGACTCGACCCCTGGAAACTCCGAAAATGTGGGTCTTAATTCGTTTTCATCATTGTGAAGATCATCATACAACATATTTTTCTCAAGCAAGATCCAGCCTCCCCTGTCATAAGGAAAAAAAAATCCATCACAAATGGAATTCCTAAAGGGCATATCAATCCACAAATAAGACAACAAAAAATATGTCCACCAAAATTTGGATCACATACCACACCAAAGCGATAAGTAAACTGGTACGCACGCTCCTTAATACTGCACAGCATGATGACACCACAGCTTTGACTGCACCATAAAACATAACCAACAACATTCAATAAAATAAAACATAAACACATACAAATAACCAAGCAACTAAGGGTTGTTCTTTACTTGTCATACAGTTCCATGATCTTTACAACATCAGTTTTCCAGTCTACAAGCTTCTCACCTTCCCATTTGCTGTCACAAATCTGCAAAATAGCATCGATGTCGGGCGCTTATAGAAACATAACATTCAGAATATAATATCACGGATATGCAATACCAACTGTAATCAATTAGTGACTTATACATCTTATACTTACCAGCTTTTCAAGGACCTCTCTATGTTGCATAATAAGATCAGAGAACATGGTATCAATGTACCATACGCACTCATTCTGAAATTCAAAAACGGCACACCACCAGTGGTCCTTTTGCAAATTAGGTACAAAGACCTACCCCAACAAACACATATTTATACAAATGCACAAAATCATATTCAAACACATATATAAATAGCACTCACCACTCCAATGTCGCTGATACCCAGGCCATTGAAACTTTGGTCGTGCTTCTTTGCTGCAACGTCAGGCGCCTCTACTTCTCTCATTAAGCGGTCCTACCCAAACAATAAATAAGAAACAGTGGACAATTTCAGCTAAATGATTGCCTTTTAACAACCGTTTCAATACTACACGGATATATCAACATTATTACCGAGAACGTATTATCTAACATAATTCTCCTGCAGCTACCCGTGTACATAGCAGCCCATTGTTTGGTATACAGCTTAGCTGCCGCCTAATGTATTGGCTGCTCACACGTTCTCGCACATTTTAAACACCATGGAAATCCCCAACTGTTGCATCCATCCCATCGCACATGATCAGAGCAACTCCCCTGCAATACAAATGATTCAAACATTACATTGATACACCCACCGGGTGTAATTTAATCTTTAATAGTTTTGGACAACTAACTACCCTTAAACTTACCCACTAACACCATTAGTCCTTACTTTCCAATTCTTTATCAACGTGTTTACATTCCGCTCCACAATGCCATAAGTCTTAGGTTTCTAGGACAGGATGACCTCACTCCGCGGTCGTTTACTCGCACTACGAGTCCTACCCCTATCCCTCTTCTTTGGATTCCCTTTACCCCCAAAAGAACTGCTTTCCTCGTTTTTTTTTCTTGCCCTGCTGCACAGGTTCACCTTCTTTATCCCCATTACCTTTGTCTCCTAGACTCTCGGCATCAGCAGTCCTATTTCCCTCATCAGCCTTATCAGCTGCATTCCGTTCCCCAACTTCATCATCATCTCCAGAATTCTTCTTTCTTGGAATACTCTCCCCATCATCTTCTGCATCCTCTCCACCACCATTTTTTTCACTATCGTCTCCACCGTTCTTCCCCCCCTTTCCAATTTCTCCATCCCCAGCTACTGGATTCTTATTCCCTAACAACCCTGCATTCTCTACTCCTGCATTCTCTCCTCCTAACCCAGCATTCTCTCCTCCTACCAACCCAACACTATTGTCTAGCTGCCTCGCTGCATTGTCTCCTCCCAACCCAGCATTCTCTCCTCCTACCAACCTAGCACTATTGTCCAGCTGCCTCGCTGCATTGTCTCCTCCCAACCCAGCATTCTCTCCTCCTGCATTCTGACCACCCAATCCAGCATCAACTTCAGCAAACACCCCTTCAGCTATATGCTCTGAAGCACCACATTTATGAGGATAAATTTTCAAAATCCATCATAATAAGATCACCTTCCACGATCCTATTACCTAAATCCAAGTCAACCCATTGAACACTTTTCTTCTAAGGTGCTGCATCAGCCCCCTTTGCCATCAATGCAGCCTCTACAACTGCACTCAGTCCCTTCAAAGGTTGACTTCCCCTGCCACTGTCACTTTTCACCCTTTTCCTGGACAATGTCTCCAGCCAGTGCTCGATTGATTCCAACCGAGGATTTAATGCTTTCACTACCTGCACAACCTCAACCAGGTTCAAAACACATGCAAAACTGAAATATCTATCAAAATAATCTACAGCCAAAATCGCATACCTTTCTAACAATCAGATCCTCCATTGAGCATCCGGCAAACTCCTGCGGCAATCTCCTATCCCTCGCAAGGCGAGGATGGCGCTCCCCGTAGGAAACATCAATATACAACCAACAACACCATCAATAAATACAGACGAATGACAAGCCTAAGCTTACCTTCAACTTTCCATAGTCACCAGATAGCCTCTTGTCTTTTTTAACAACACCGCTCACTCTCTCCTGCGTCCACACATCAATCCTCGGCATCTCACCCTATGAATTAGGAGTCAAACTCAAATGGTCAACGTAAAATAGCTGTAAAAACAACATACACCCACCACAACCAGCAACAAAACCATACTTCCCAAACTTCTGCTGAAACTTTGTCTGATATGCCCAATTGTACAGCTCTGCCTCATGAGCTATCGCAACGGCCGACAAAATCTCTATCGACAAATTACCGTCGTCAGTTGAAGGACATAACACCATACCCAACAAAACAACAAGAAAAGCAGTCCTAAAATATAACACGTCATCATCATCAACTAAGGGCCCGCCTGATAACCCCTTTGCTTCTAAAGCTAATTGTATCGCATCTACAACCCGCCCAATTAAGATGTGCGTCCCTCCCTGTGCATCCAAAACTCCAAACCACTTGTCAATCAGCTTAACTCTTTTGTTCATGTTTATATCCAACTTTTCACAAGTCAGAGGAACAGGCTTGCGTGTGTACGGAATTCCTAGCACACAATTTCACTACATGGGACTTAGAGGCAACTCAACACCATCCTCAAATCACAACACACTACTCATAGGATCCACCCTAGTATGCAACTAGTAGCAGAACTTCCTGTCTAATCGATTCACCTTCAGGTTCAGAAGTGACCCAAACCCCATTTCTTGAACTGCCTTCTTCCTTGTTTGATCTAGTCCATCAATAACCTTGCTAAATGCATCCACGCGACATATGATAATTGCAGGTTGTTCAACACAACAGTAAACACAAATTGTCATACCACACATTCATTTCCCACTATCATAACACAAATCAATTACTGAATATCGACAAAACACACCTTCGAACAAAAATGTGATTTGGTATCTACTACCCTCTCCTTCTCCGTTACAATAACTCCAAGCGGACGATTATCAACTGCCTACAAATACAAACATACAAACCAACAACCTATTAAACTACAACATAAATGAATGAAATGCAAAAATAGCTTCATACTCTATTTCAAAATATTACCGCCTATAGCGGATCCAACACCCGTGCCCTGACAACATTTATCAATTTAGCTTCCCTAGCATTTGCCATTTTCTTCTTCAACTTGGCCGCTTCAGCCTTGCCCTTATTGATTTTCCGGTCCAAATGCTGCAACTCTTCATCCTCAGTATCCTGATCACTACCGCCTCCATCTTCTTCACTTCCTTTATCTGTATCATCTTCACTTGCACCCCAATCTGAATCTTCTAATTGTTCAGCCCCCCCCCCCCCCCAATGCCTTGCGCAAGCAACTCATTCATGTAGGTCACTTGATATGAAGGTTCAACCCCTTGTCCTTTCCTCTTTTTACTGCTTTTATCAGGTATGTTCTTCTCTGCAGTTAATTTTCTTTTACCAGCAGTAACCGCTTTCTGGCTTTTATCACCAACATTTACACCTTCTTCTTCTTGAAGATCCTGTGTAATATTGTGAGCTACAACAGAAAACATAGTAAGTAGGTATACAGGTTGATTCCCCTAATTGTAAACACAAATACACAAAACACACACTTACTCACCCCCAACTACGCCCTACTACCAACCGCTGGACGAGAAGCACCACCCCTTTTTCATCCCATTTGCCCCTCTGCATATAAACAATTTATGTTCAAACCAATCAAAACAAAAGGTTTATTTCCACTTAATTTCTTAGTTTGTTAGTTTTGTAATGCTACCAAATGCCAACATAAGTCCACTTTAAACCAACAATATGAATTTTACAAAAAAATTGATACTGTATTTCACATCATTTGAATTTCACCTATATCCATCAAAGATTGACTAGCACATAATCACTTTACCAATATTTTACAATATAACAAGTGTAAAAGTAGTTAACATTCCAAATACCAACATTATTCGGGTTTGAACCAAAAATCTATTGAACTTTCTAAAAAATGAAGCACAAAAAACCCAATTCAAATAAATTTTATGGTTTTCCCCACATCAATTATTTACTTCAACATGAAACCTAGTCTGGATTACAATATTAAGACACACAGCCAAAATACATCAACGCTGAATAGTAATAACACAAATTTCAGGGGTTCCGCACATCATAAAAGAAGCTTTGTTTCATAATTGTACAAAACATAAATTCGAATGATGGGAAAATTAGACATAATTACGCTTAATTTTCCTTGTATTCCCAGAAGTAACTTCAAACAAAGACAACACTTACAACAGAATAACCCAAATTAGCAATAAATTCAGTACAATGCATTCAAATTTAATTATTTCTAAGCAAAAAAAAAACACAAAGTACACAGTTTTAAAATTCTAGGATTCCCCAAATTCCTGACCTAAGAGAACCGATGTGTTACCGAGAGAACAATGCCGATGCCAGAACAACAACCACCAAACAACGAGCACTTACTACCGATCGGAAACCCAGAAACGAAGTGAGAACAATGCGAAATTGAGTGAGAGAGAGAGAGAAGGAGGAGTCTACAGAGAGAGGGAAGTTATGTATTTTAAATTCTTTCTTGGAAGATGAAGAAGTAAGTTGATGAGAGAGAAAGGGAGGTTGGAAAGTTGGAAAACGGCAAAACGGAATTTACCTCATGTGATACCTGTGCAAACAGGTCATTTACGTTTTTACCCTTACTAATTGCGAAATGACAGCGCTGCCCCTGCTAGAGCCATACTTGTATCTAGTTCCTAGATGCCGAGACATTCCCATTGCCCCCATCATCTCCTCAAGAAACAAAGTAACAGAAGTCCAGAAAATCTCAGAGCAAGCAAGCAAACTACACAGAAACCTGCTTAAAAATGGCGTATTCAACTGCTCGTCGAACCCTTACAACTCTCCTGACTCGAACATATTTGCGCTACTCTTCATCACCTTCTTCAATTCTATCTCCCAAAACTCGATCCTCCCTCACCTTCCTTCAAACCCATTTTCAACCCTTACTTTCTCCCAATTCAGCTCCGATTCAAATTCGGCCCAAATCAACCGGGTCGGGTTACTCACCACTCAATGACCCGTCTCCAAATTGGACCAATCGCCCCCCTAAAGAAACCATCTTATTGGACGGTTGCGATTATGAACATTGGTTGATTGTAATGGAGTTTCCTACTGATCCTAAACCTTCTAATGATGAAATGATTGACTCTTATGTTAAAACCCTAGCTCAAATTGTTGGCAGGTTGGTTAATTTTTCTGGGTTTTTGGTTTAATTGCTGTTTTTGATGGTTTTGATTAATGGGTGTTTTTGTTCTTTTGGTTTGGGGCAGTGAGGAGGAGGCGAGGAAAAAGATTTACTCTGTTTCGACTACGACGTATACTGGGTTTGGTGCTTTGATTTCTGAAGAGCTATCTTACAAAATTAAAGGTAATCGAATTCGGGTTTTGGGGGTTTAGGGTTTAAGCTATATAAATTTCATGTGTTGATTCAATTTGTCTAATTTTGCAAGGCAATGTCTCATAATAGATATGTTTATGATTAGACAATTGTAAAGTACATTTCATGATTTCTAATTTTCTATGATATAATCTCTCAATTGTATAGCAAGCTTTCAGCTTTGTAATATGTTAATCTCTGATGTTGATTAGATCTGCTTAGTTTTGAAAGGCAATGTCTTAAATTACAGTTTATAATTAGATAATTGTACAAATTTTAGTTTTATATGATTGCAAATTCACGGGGTAGAATTCCCGTAGCATGTATAATATATTTCATGATTTCTTAATCGGATAACAAGCTTTTTTATTCTGTATCCTGTAATTCGTTACGTTATACCAGATGGCTGTTAGGCTGTGAGATTTTGAAACCTCTTTGCATACACAGCATTTAACAACAGCAATTTGAAAATGAATGATATGATTTTGTTCAGAAGTTTGGTAGTAGTTTTGTTTCTTCAGTCTTAGTAACGAAAGAGATCAAGATATGAGCTGCCAGTTCCAGGATGTGCTTATGAAAGAGCCTCGGTGGTTTCAATGTTGTCTTTGGTGTCTTTCTTTGACAAATCAGAGGAAATTTCCTAATTGTGTTTTTGTTTTGTAAAATTCTTTCTTGCTCGGATTGGGTCGCGAGTAAGCTAAATTGCTTTTATGTTTTATCTATGAGCTCTACACTCCTAACAAGTAGTTTGCCAGCGGTATCTTGATCGGAGTTTGATTGCTCTCATCTGTCATACCCATTACAATTATTTTCATTAGATGTTATAGTTAGTGTGTTAATTGGGTCAAGTAATCAACATTTGGTTTGTTCTTTTTGTGACAGCCCTACCTGGTGTCCTTTGAGTCTTGCCTGATTCTTATCTTGACGTGCCAAATAAAGATTATGGAGGTGGGTAATAAATGCAAGAGATGATATCACAAAACATTCTTCTGTCGCAATTTTTTTTTATTTCATTATAGCTGTTTATAGCTGAAGAGTGTTTGTCTTTGATCTGTAGGGGATCTTTTTATTGATGGGAAGGTTATCCGAAGGCCACAATATGATTATAGTGAGAGGCAGCAGAATAGTAGACTTAGGTCTCGTCCAAGGTATGATAGGCGCCGTGAAAAAGTGCAGAATGTGGGTAGAGCACCAATACAGACACAACAACAAAGTTGGACACCAGACAACACGCAGACAATGCAGCAGCCAATATCGACAAATGTCCCGGATACAAGTTAAAGTCATGGCTTCATGGAGAAAAATCAGAAAATACTGGCCTGAATTATTAGAAAGTATATTAAATCACCGTAGGGACTATTTGATCTTTTCAAGTGGTATGTTTTTCGTTTAGCCCATTTTAATACATAAGTTTGAACTAGGATTTTTAATTATAAATTTTCTATGTTATTCAAACACTGACCAAGTAACCCTTATAATACTGATCGAATAACCCTTAAAGCACTAATTAAGTAACCCCTAATGGTTGGCCACACTGGCCAGTCACAAATAAAAAATTGTGTAAGTTTGTTTTTTACCTTTGCACAGGCAAAAAGTAATACTACCTCCGTTTCTTTTTAGTTGACACGTATTCCTTTTTAGGAAGTTTTTTTTTTTAGTTGACACGTTTTCTTTTTGGGTAAATTTTTTACCTTGCATTTACAAGGTACCCCACTTACTTTTCACTCTCTCACTCTCTCTCCTCTTCTTAATATATGTGCCTAAATCAAACGCGTCAACTAAATAGAAAGGAGGAAGTATGTAATTATCAGTTATCACCCTTTGTTAAGTAAGGGAATTTGATTTTTTTTTAAGCCAATAAATTAAAGGCCAAATTAGAAAATAACACCTGCAAAAAGACCCGATTTTGTTTATAACACCTTAACATTTCGAAATTTTATTATAACACCTACAAAAATCCCAAAATTTTGGTTTCACCACCCAGTAACGGATTTTTGGATGGAAACCGTTAGTGGGACCCACTAGGGACACGTGTCAGTTGTTTATTGGCTTAAAAATAAAAATTAATAAAAATTAAAAAAAAAAAAAAACCCTAAACTCTAACCCAGCCACCAGCCCCACCACCGCCGACCGTCACTACACCGCCGGAGACCCCCCACTGTCGTTGGATTCCATTCCTTCTCCGGCGAAACCACCGGCCGTCACCCCCACCAATTACGCCAGAATTTCGTCCAGAAACCTCCCTAAAATTCGCGTAACTGCGATCCCAACATCACGCCGGAGAAAGACGATGAAATTACACCAAATGAATCTCGAAATTGCACCAAAAATACGATGAAACTGCACCCAAGCACCAATTGACGGAGAACCACCAGCGAAATTTCGATTGGTGCTTGTAGCGGTTGTTGACGGTGGTTTGGTTGTGGGTCTGAAAGAGGCGAAGGGGCTAGGTGGTTTTCGTGGAGGGTTGTGGTGGGTTGGGGTGATTTTTCGGGGAGAAGGAAGGGGGAAGGGGATTTACGGGGGGGCTGATGTTGGTGGGGGTGACGGCCGGTGGTTTCGCCGGAGAAGGAATGGAATCCAACGACAGTGGGGGGTCTCCGGCGGTGTAGTGACGGTCGGCGGTGGTGGGGCTGGTGGCTGGGTTAGAGTTTAGGGGTTTTCTTTTTTTTTTTTTTTTAATTTTTATTAATTTTTATTTTTAAGCCAATAAACAAGTGACACGTGTTCCTAGTGGGTCCCACTAACGGTTCCATCCAAAAATCCGTTAGTGGGTGGTGAAACCAAAATTTTGGGATTTTTGTAGGTGTTATAATAAAATTTCGAAATGTTAAGGTGTTATAAACAAAATCGGGTCTTTTTGCAGGTGTTATTTTCTAATTTGGCCTAAATTAAATAAAACATGGTTTAGAATAGTACTAGCACTACAATGTATAATTAATATATTTAAAAAGGAAAAATTAACAAATATAATCCCAACTATTGCCTTCCTTCTCATTTTAATCCCAACTACTACCTCCGTTTTTTTTTATGTGCAACTTTGGCACATAAAACGGTTCACGAGGCAAAAGATTGAAGGGCAAAGATTAAGAAAGTATAATGGTGATTAATATATTATAAGAGTATGTAATTAAGGTGGAGAGAGAATGTTTGAATAATTAATCAAACCACCCATTGCCACCACCAAGACCAACCACCACCGCCGCCGCCTTCACCACCACCACTGTCGGCTTCACCACCACCACTACCACCCCCACAAAACCACCACCACAACCGACCCCACGAAACCACCACCACCCTCACGTCTTTCCTTCTTTTTTCCGGCAGCCCCCTCCCTAACCAAAAAACCCAGATCTAACCCAGACCACCTAGACCCACATCTAACCCAGACTACCCCACCACCTAGACCCACATCTAACCTAGACCACCCCACCACCTACGCCACCAAGACCCAACCCTAACCCAGACCACCCCACCACCCAAACCCACCTCTAACCCAGAAAATCGAAACCCAGAAAATCAAAATCAAAACCCTGAAAATCAAAATCAAAATCAAAACCCTGAAAATCAAAATCAAAGATGAAAGAGAGAAAGCCGGTGGTCATAGGGAGCAACAATTGGGCCGGAATCATCACCGGTATCCGAGAACCCACCACCGCCGGCGCCGTGAACAAACTTGCAGGCGTTACCATTCGAAAAAGGGTCGTTCAAGAGACCCAGTTTTCGTTCAAGAATTCGGGTCTTTCATTGATGGGTTCGGGTTTGGATTCGTGTTTCTGGGTTTTGTCGATGAGAGGGAGGAAACGACGGTGGCGGAAATGGTGGTGGTGGAGAGGGCGGAGATCGGCGGAGACGACGATGAAATGGGGGTTGTTGGGGAGGTCGGAGTTAGGGTTTTGAGGGAGGAAAGAGGAGTAGGTGGAAACGATGAGGGTGTTGCAGGGGTGGAAAAGGAGGCCGGGGCGGGTTGAGACGACCGAGAGGATGGTGGAGATCAGGAGGAGAGAGAAAATGGAGGTCACCGACGATGACGCCATTGAAGGAGAAGTGAAGAGAGGAGAGAGAAAATGGCAGATTTGGGGGAATTTGGGATTTCTGAGGTGATGAAGAAATTGGGAATGAATTTCTGAGGGGAGGTAGTCTTGGAGAAGGTACAATTAGGTTAATGATTTTAGATTAGATAAAAAAGTTATTGTGATTAAAATAAGATAAGGATAGCATTAAGAAAATCTGAATTTTTAAGTAAGGGTAAGTTTGTAATTTTCAGGGTTTTTATTTACCAAAAATAGAATGAAAAAGGAAAGTTGCACATAATAGTGAACGGACTAAAATGGCAAAAGTTGCACATAAAAAAAAACGGAGGTAGTATAGTTTAACTTATTTGTTAACCTATTGTTCAAGTAAAAAGAGTGATGTGAAGCTAGTATTGATTAGTGCTTTTTAATAATAATAAAAATTAAACAAAAACCCCATTTTTTATTTCTTTAATCACTGCCCACATTGACACCCTCTCTAGAACAAGTCAACAACTTCATTTCTGCCATTGAAATCACTTTCTTAGGCACCCACAACCACCAAAACCACCATTCTAGCCAAACCCAGCCACCAAAACCACCATTCGAGCAAACCCCAGCTACCAAAACCACCATTCGGGCCAAACCCAGCCACGGAAACCACCATTCTAAGCTTGTAGCCAAACCCAGCCACCGAAACCACCATTGTAGCCAACCCCAGCCACCGAAACCGTCATTGTGGCCAACCCCAGCCACCGAAACCACCAATGTAGCCAAATCCAGCAATCGAAACCACCATTGTAGCCAAAAATTAATTTATCCAACAATTATCCAATTAAAGCTTGTAATAATTCAAAGGGAACCCAACAATTAAATTATGAGAGTGATAACGTTTGTAATTGTTAGTTTAATTTGAAATGTAATCTTAAAAAAAATAAAAAGAGGAAAAGGTGTTATGGAGATGGTGTGGAATGGGGAAGATGGAGAAAGGGAAAGATTAACCATGAAGGTCTGGTAGGAGAAAGGTGAAAGAAATAAAATAAAAATAAAAATGAAAATGAAAATGAAAAAAAATAATAATAACAGGTAGAAGAGGTAATAGGTAAAGGGGAATATTTTGAGAAGGGTCACCCAATAGTTGGGATTATTTTAAGTTAAACTATAGTTGGGATTAAAATGAGAAGGAAGACAATAGTTGGGATTATATTTGTTAATTTTTCCTTCTATTTGAATGTGTAAGACAGTAGTTAAATACTCTCTCTGTCCCTTAGTACAAAGCCTCTCGCTAGCATTTATTATTCACATAATAAAGAGAAAAGACTTTTTTATTTAGGGACGGAGGGAGTATTGTACTTGTTCACATCATCATGCCAAGTTAATTTTCCAAAACCAATCCAAAGACTTAGGTATGCAATGGCAGCTTAGATGGTTTGTTATATGAAAATACTTGGATGGTGACATGCAGGGGCGGATCTATGGGGTTCAAGGGGGTTCATTGAACCCACAGATTTTTAGGAAAAAAATTATAAGTTTTAATTTTTTTAAAAAAAAATAGAAAAATAAGGTTAAAACAATATTTGAGGCAAGTAGTCTATTGTGTAAGTTTGGCGCATTGGTTGGGAGCTGAAAGTTAGAGCAGTGAATTCCTCAAAAGGTCCGTGGTTCGATTCCTACTGCCCAGATTTCGGACTAACATTAAAAAAACAGAATATAAATATTTCTTATTTAGTGATAATTAGATTAATTACTGATTTATTTAATTGGTTTTGATATATTGTTGAATACTTGAATTGTTGACAAATTGATTGTAGATACTTAGAATTTTAAATTTTTACTTGGTCTTTTAATTGATAATTAGAAGAAGTTTATATCGTCAAAAATGTGTTTATGGGGACTTGGGATTTTTGTTTTATGTGTAATACTTCCTCTGTTAATGGTTATTTGCAACAAAGGGGTATTTTTTGCAATAGAATTATAGATTTATAGAAGTAGTCAAGTAGTAACGTTGTAACTAGTATAGACTTTAAAAATTGAAAATAACAATTAGTAGATTGTTTAGATAATTAATTGTTTATTTTGTGTATTATTGTAGATTGTAGAGCTTTTGTTACCAACTTACCATGAGTTTAGAGTCTTTGGAAACGTGCCAGGAAGTCGCAAAAGTCCTCTCCTTGTTCTTCACCTAGTTCAATAAGGAATCCTCCAATAGAAGAAGATGTTGTGTCTCCTATTGATGATGCGGATATTGAGTCGCAAAATTTGAACTTGTGTATCGAATATTTAATTAATATATGATCATCGTTTTTTTTTTAAGATTTCGAACCCACGATTTGGAATTCCTAAATACGCCACCGGTGACATGGTGTTTTGTATTTCTGTATATATATATACGAACCCACCATTCTTCGTACTAGACTATGTATAGTTTCGGAAGTAGTTGTGTTTTATTTTCGAAATCACAGATCAATTGGCACAATTACTAAGAAAATTGAGCTAAATGACCTCTAAGGCCAAGAAATATTCTAAACATGTATTACTACTACGAAGCTTAACATGATCTATATGGTTGGCCGTTCACTGCTACGAAGCTTAAACACAAGTAGCTA